TTAGGGATCCTAAAATCAGAGGGATCAATTGGCCCATCCAACCCAAAGTAAAGTGAAGATGTTTTCATCTGAGCTTTCACCTGGGGTAAGACAGCCAGTCCCTTCTACACTACAGTTATCAAGCAATGAAGGCAGCAGGTGATGGAAACACACAGGACAGCTATTGGGGAGGGCACTGAATAAAGCAAACCCTTTAATGATCCCCACGTGCTTTTTCTGCATAAGCCATAAAGCACATGCCCCTTCAGCCTAATGGTTTCATCATTAATGGAATTAAAAAACCCAAACCCAGCTTTTTTAGACCTGTGACTCCACCCAGCATTACCCTGTGCACATTTTCTAGCACGGACACAAGCTGGCAGTGGGTGCATCCACTCAACTGGCTCTGTGAAGGGATTTCTGGTGTCCTTTCAGAGGTGCCAGGTTGATTTTGAGGATTTTCCAATGCCACTGCATCATATCAGGAAAGACAGAAGCATGTCCAGGAGAGTCACAGAAGTACTCACCATTTGTTGGTCCTCCACAGGCTGCTGCACTACCTGTGATGAATGCCTCTGTGATCTTTAAAATGAGTCAGTGCTATCCAGCACTCTCAAAATGAGGCAGCTCCTCAAGAAAGGATTTGAGAGACTAGAGTAACCAGATGGAAGACTTATGCGTCTGCTAGGTGAGTTTCTGTCTCTGAGAAGCAAATCAGACTCTTTAAAAATTAATGATAATTTAAAATCTAGCCTTTTCAAAGCAAGACTGAAAAATGTGACAGTCTGCCACTGACTCTCCACAGGCTGGAGTCCTAAATCCCTTTTTCCCCTGCCCCCCCTCCTTTGTTTGCCAGGTAAGAGGCTGATAAAAAATCTGTCCAATTTTCTGTAACAAAGCAGCTGCCTGCAGAGCACTGCTCACCTGAACAGCTGAGCAGATCTAATTGCTCACTGCTGGAGGGCACAGTCCTGCCCATTTCCTCATTCCCCTCCCAGCCCAGGCACCACTTTGACTCACTAAGAACCCCACTGAAGGCAGTGAATACTTTTCCCAGGCTTAGCAAGCCGAGCTGACTCTCTGAGGACTTGGATGATCCCCAGAGGTCCCTCCCCACCAACAGGACTCCAGAGCACTGCAGCAGGCATGCCAGGGAACCACAAGGAGCACAGGGCTGGAAACAGGGCAGGAGAGGTTTGTTCCCTATTGCTGACAGCAAGTTCTGCTCTCAGAGGTGCTCAGCTGCTGCACTTAACACTGCTGACTGACACAGGGAGCTCACTTCCATGGGCCCCTGACCCAAAGGGCTGATGGCAAAGCTGCTGAAGCAAGACGGTGGTGAACACAACAGCCCTTACATCAGCATGGCTTGCAAGAAGCACATCCTGGCAGAACGGGCGGCTCAGTTGGTGGAGCTGCCTCCTTCCTAGGAGCATTTCACCAACACAATGGCTTTGCTAGGCTGTTAACGCAACTCCTTCAAAGATGGCACAAGAAAAAAGCAAGCGAAGTGAGGTGGGCAGACAAATGAACAGGAAAGAGAACAATCTTCTCTCTTTAACCCTAGACCTTTGGCATGGTTTGTAACAGAGCAGGGTCACTTTTCAGAGAGCATTGCAGCATTTCAAGTGATACACTTCCTTTTAGCATGGTCACGCAAAGCCAAGAAGTCCATCTTGAAACTCGGCGTGGGCTACAGCCTCATGCAAACTTCACTTACTGTGCCATAATCCGAGGTGAAGAGCACACTTCCATCGGCACACAAGCCAACAGTGCATGGCTGCAGCTGGTCCTGCTCCCGCAGCCACACCCTGGCACCCTGCAAAAACCGAAAGACTTCCCATTAGAAAGAAATGGAGCCTGCAAGATCTGCACATGGGGTGCAAGCACCCAAGGAAAGCTGGAGGAAGCTACAGTGTTCAGAGGCTATTTCCAAGCTACAGCTGCTTAAAACTTTTAAGCAACTCCTACTTACGTTTTCAGAGAGGCTGGTTTTGATTTTTTAATGTAACATGAGAGGAAGAAAAAGCAGTTTTACTTAGCGTCGTGCGGAAACCAATGTAAGGAAACGTCAGGTTTTTATAGAAAGAGTCATGGAAACATACAAACACACAGAGTAGTGGGTTCAACAGTCTAAATATTTTCAAACTTCGAACAGCTGGGCATTAAAAGTCATGCTATAATAATAATAATACAAAATGTAAATAAAGTATGTTTACAATTTCACACACCCACACCTCATTGTCAGTCAGAATGCTTCCAGAAATCATCGGCAGCAGCTAAGTAGACTTCACAGAGCTTTTTTGCCACCCTTGCAAGAGTTTCCTTGGGTAAATGACATGACTTGAGTGCTTCACTGGTGTGTGTGTGTGTGTATATATGTATATGATATGATAGCCCTAATGTATATATAATTTCACACATGCTACAAGAGCTTACATTGTTTGGTGTCTCTCAAGACAACCCTGAGCACAAAGGCAGACCTCTGGTAACACATACGCAAGGATCTGCAAGGCAAGCAGATCTCATAGCTCATCACTAAAAAAGTGCAGGGCAAGTCAGTTTGCTGGACTGGCCTCTTCTGCCCTGCCTGACTGTGGGACCTGGTACAAGAGAAGAGCAGGAGCATGAAGGCAAATCAGGGTGAGCATAACCTGTAATTATGCAGAATTAGGCATAACGTCACACTGCATTTCAGTTCTTATAACCTAATCTGTTCCATTACTTTCCATAGAAATCACATAGACTCTGCTTAGATAAGTATCAAGAAAAAGCCAAAGTGCTGAACTGTTGAGTAACGTTAAGGCCATCCTGCTTTTCATCGATTCACAGACCTACTTTCTTCCTAATTTGTTTTCTGCCCCTAAGTTATTGATTGTAAAAGCCCTTCCTATCCTCTTAAACCCATGAGCACCATTAGCTCTTTGCTTGTAGGCTTACTATGTTTACTTATAGGCTTACTAAGAGATGCAACAATATTTCTATATTGCGTTATCCTGAAAGTGGAACATTAATTCTATTTTTAATGATTTATCTTAGTTTAGGTGGGTTTTTTTTAAACTACTTTAGTCACTTTAAACACTCTAGTACCCTGGATTTTCCCTACTGTAAAAGTTATGTCTATTGGCCAACCTCCGGTCCTTGCAATACAGGAACTGGTTTTAATGACATTTCTAAAAGCTTACATAATTGTACTTTTGCTGCTCTTTTGTGTTCTGTTTTAGAGTTTCCATAACAGGCAGATCCATTTCCCTTCACAAAGTGAATGAAAAGCACCAGTGCATCTGGTCAGTACCTAAACCCAAGGATGGTGTCCAAACATCACCCCCATGGCCAGTAAGCAACAGAAATGAACATTTCCTTACATTGCAGATTCAAGTTTCAAGATTCCACAGAGCTTGTAAGCAATGCATTGAACACAGATTTTGAGAATCTATATTTGAGGTCTTCATCACATCCTCTTACATTTTATGAAACTCTTGATGCTCGAGACAAAGTGTCCTAAGGCATTTGGGCAAGACATTGCTGTTGAGAAATCATCCATTTCCCAAATCACGTTCTGATGACTCCACACAAACATACGAACAGCAACGTGTGGTAGCAAGAGATCTTTATGCTATTTCACCAAACACTCCTACTATCATCACAGGGATAGTAACCAACAGCAAAGTTGTGTCTGGAGTTCCCAACAGTGGGATGAAAGAAAACCTTTTCTGATACCCTTCTTGTAAACTCTCATTCCCAAGAATGCATTTCAATGCCTTCAGACACCGGTAACCCAGGAGCACAAAGATCGGCGCCTGCAGGCAAATGCAGTTTAATCAGGAGCCAGGCCTGCACCCTGCCAGGCACCCTGCACACCAGTGCCACGGCACACACACAGGTGCACACCCCCAGCATTAGGAGTGTGCCGTGCTCACAGAACCCTGCGTGCTCTGTCCCTGCAGGCCCGCGGGGTCCGGGTTGCACACGCTTTCCATTCCCTGAGCTCAGGAATTGATTTGGAGATAGAAGCAGTTGATAACCTGACACACAAGAGACACTCCACGGGCATGAACACTGTTACTTATTAGGTACTATTTAGAGGGAAAAAGGGATGGACAATGAGATCCCTTTGGTATCTTCCATACTCAGAAATTATCAGAAAGTCCAGACTGACTCAGTCACCCTTCCCAGCAGAAGACCATGTGAAAAAGTAGTAAAAAACACTCCCAAAAGGAGACTTAGTTATTTTGTAAAATATTTCATAATTTCCTATGGATTTATGGCAGATCCTTCTGCGCGCTGCTAAGGAGTAGAAGGCAACATGATGAGACTCCCAGGCAATGTGGCATTTCAGCTGCCCAGAAGTAAGTACTTCAGTCTACTTTGATGTTGTGGCTGTTTATACAACAGCAAATGCTTCTGCCCAGTGGAATAACTGCACCCATTTATGTTGTTTCCAAAAGGAACACGATGCTGAGATAGCCGGAATAGGAACCACAGAGCAAATAATTATTGTAACTTCTGCCCAGCATAGCCTTCATTTCCTGAAAGGCTGAGTTTGTTTTAGTGCATCTCCTTCCATCAGCCCTTTTTTCTAAACATGAAATTCCCCAAGGAGCCTTGACTAAATACAGAAGCAGATGGTGACACCAAAGAGACTGCCCTCGCAGCACTCCCCTCTCCCCCAACACCACACATTTCATTGATCAGTCAAAAGGATTAAATTGAGCAGAAAACTCCCAATAACTGCCAGGCAGCAAGGCTGAACTTCCACGGGAGAAGCAAGGGCAGCAGAGTACGGCCCAGCACTGCAGAGCAGTGACCACCAGCTCTCGCGGGTCCCCACAGGCACCACAGACGATGGTACAAGCCCTGCTCTCCAGCTGCAAGAATCAAAAAAACCCTTCAGTTTTCAAACTGGGATACAGAAGTGCTCACGTGCACCCAGAGACAAAAAAGTTTGACAAAATGAAGCAACAGGCAATCATTGATTCGATCAAAAGACAGCTAAGGAACAGCAGAGCGATGATTTTGTGTAACTGCTTTCCATTGAATAAAGCTGGCTGAATACTGATGATACAGTTAAATCAAGCTCCTTCTATAATGAGAATAGCTCATCCCTTCCCAATTCTTCTTTTAAACTAGGGTTTTATTAGGGGAGCTGTGGGTTTTTTGTGGGGCTTTTTGGGTCTTTTTTGGGGGGTAGTTTTTGGGTTGGTTGGTTGGTTTTTGGAGAGGTGTGGGGCTTTTTCTGGGTTTTTTGGTTGTTCTTGTTTGGTTGGGTTTTTTGTTTGGTTGTTTTAAGTGGAGCAACAACTGCAGCTACTGAAAGGAAGAATAAAGTAGTAATGTATCAGTTCCTGTATCAAGGGTAGGTCACTCAGATGTTAAATGAACTCTCAGAGACCAGCATCCTCATTCCGATGGCCTCAGTGACAATCCATCCATGAACTGGCCTTGCCACAAAGCGCATAGCAAAGCACAATACTGAAAACTGATCCCATAACATGGGGTTATAATTTAGAAAATAAGGTTGCTTGCATACCGAGAACGCTGTTTCATCACTCGCACACCATGGTGTCTCCCACAGTGGACAGTGAACTCTAAGATGATGATGTTCTCTGTTCACATAACACCTGGTGCTTTGGCGTCCTAGACTTGGAAATAAGTAACATTTCCTGGTATCCATGATAGCAAGAAATCAATTGAAGCCACAGACTTCTCTGGCCTTCTGTGCCTTTTTTAGAGCACCTGATACCATGAGCTCTCCTTTGCATTCACACATCTGTATCTGCATCTCAGCAGGTGCCGTACGCTGTGTCGGCAAGGACAGGTATTGTACGCTGTACTCCAGGGAATGGGTGTAGAGGCAAACAAGCAGTGCACCACCCTTACTGCAGAAGCAAAGCACCCTCAAAGCAGAGCGTGGGTGCACTCTCCTCGTCAGCTATCCAGCTAGCGAAGGCAAAGTACACTCCAGAGGACAAGACACAGAACTCTGTAGCTGCAGGTGCCTTTGCCTCTCCACAACCTCCCAGCCCAGCAGGAGACACATTCGGGGACTGACATGAGCAAGCCACTGCTCTGCAACTGTACCACACTTCAGTCATCAAATACATTTTCACACTCCCTGTCCTCTCTCTTCTGGGAACTGCTGCTTCTTATATGGAAGCATGAATGAGCTGCCCCAGCTGCACAGGATTTTAGGAAATGGGTAGCAGTGCTACCTCTCTCTGCCAGCTCTCACATGCCCCATTCCTCCTTTTGCGCAAACCTGCACAACTTTCAGGAGTGGCGTGCTCTACAAGGGCTACACCATGATGGGTGCATCAACTGTCCAGGAGTTATTCAGAGAGGAAAAGTGCTTTTGGTTGGAAAGTACTGTAAAGATGCCCACTCTGTTTTCACTATGGGAGAGTTTTGGTGATGTTTTCTCTGTGAATGAACATGGCACACTCAGTCTCCAGACCAACCTGTGAACACAATACTACGAGAGGCTCTTGCAGTGCCTTGGTTTGGGTAACTATCCCAAATCACTGCTGCAGTCATTCTTCAAGGGGCAGGGATGTCTCAAAAAACGGACCCACCTGCACTGTCAGTCCAAGTCAAAAATTGCTGTTGCTGCTATAAGTTTTTCCAGCTATCAATACTGTGCATATACATACCTTTGTCCTCCTGGCTTACGGAGGCTGTTCAATGGGTATTAGGCATGCCAGCCTTGTGCTTTTCCCAGTGACGGATCCATATGCTCCTAGGCTTGGAAGCAGCATTGCACAGAGCCAGCTCTCTTCCCAGCCTCAACGGGCTTTGTGGTTGTGAACCACGCAGCAGAGC